GGGACTGCTGCACCACGGCCTCTCAACAGAGTTGGTTTCACAATCAATAGTGATCAGTTAGTCTGTGAAATTTGGGAAGTGTTATTTGACTTATGTTTTTGACAAAAGTTACTTTTGGGGAAAAAGGACCAAAAGTCCAGTAGAGCAGACACTGAGGACTGGGAGGGTGTTTGATCAGGTCTGCAGGGTCTAGAAAGATTGTGTCACTGAATACAGAACACACTGCCAATTAAGAGATGATCTGTAATATTAACTCACTTTCTATTTTTCAATGTTTCTTAAAAATAATAATGTTGTAAAATTAGCAGGTAACAACCCAATACAATGGCATGTGTGTGAGCACACAGTACTAATATTCCCATTACTTCCCATCTCATAAATTTGGAACTTGTATGAAAATGCCATAAGGAAAACCATTACTTCGTAGGCTTACTTGAAATCTTAGTAAAGGGACTGGAGAACGGTTCAGTAGTTAAGAGAATGTATTATTGTTCTTGCAGAGGACCCAAATCTTGTTCTCATCCTGTAACATCAGGTTCAGGGGATCCGGCGCCCTCTTCTGGCCTCTGCAAGCACCAGCATGCATGGACATGTGTACACACGTGGAAGAGTGCACACATAACACAATTTTTAAAAATAAATGTTAGAAAATAAAATATTGATAAAAGATAAAACTAAGAAGAAATTTGAAACCAGTAACAAACAGGCTCCATTCATTACTACTCATCCAGTAACCACTGGGCCCCTGGAGAGGGCAGAATTAACACACAGAAACAGCTAAGGAAATATTTCTGTTACTTTAAGAACTCTTAGCCAGGAATCAATCCACAAAAACAGACACTGCCTGTAGGTTTCTCTGCGTAAGAAACTGGCCTTCTGACTCCACATTTTGGCTGGTCATCTCAACTGTTCCCTCAGAAGCCAAACTGAGGAGACTCCAATACCTGGGAACTTCACTGCAGGTTAAACACCAAATACTGTCCACTTGAAGACCCCTTTCCAGCGCAAGCCTTGGGAGTGAGTGACTCCATGGCAGGCTTGATGAGCAGGTATCCAGGTGATGAGGTCTCAGGAAGCGATGGAAGAGGAAGTCACTTGGGAGTCGGTCACAGAGACAGGGAGAAAGCGGGGGGGGGGTCAGTCTGAAGTCTCTCCTGGGTGTGGCTAAGCTCTTCTGATGGAAAGGGGGTGGGATTGGATGTAGGAGGGGTCACGGTTCAGAGGAAAGTCTTTAGATGATTCGGGGGTCTCATTTCCCACCCAACTGCTCCCATGTTATAGCAGATAAACATAAATGCTCAGGGATAGAGGGAACACAAGATTTATGTGTCACTTCACGTTTGTATATGCTGACTTCAGGTTTACTCCAGACAACTAGAACAAAACTCATCCAGAAAGCACTCAGTTAATGTCACAGTGTACCTCCTCACCTGTCATGTCCAACACATCTCTAAACCTCCTGCTTTTAAGCTACAAGGACCTAACATTGGCACAAAAATGTGTCATTCCCAGTTTATTCTACCCATTGAGAAATCCAGTGACAAAAGACAGTCTGTATTTCTAAAAACTATGTCAATATTCTTTGTGCCCTATTCAGAGGGCTTTCCACTTCATAACTAACTAAAGTTTATTTTTAAAGTGCCTCCATTCCCTAGAGGCCAGACTTCGATAATTGGCAAGAGGGTTCACTCTTAGATTTGGAGACATTTACCCAGCAGCTACAGTGAACAGATTATGAATGCTGAGGAGAAGTGAGCCTAGGTCAAAACGCAGACTCCATAGGCTGCTGACAGGGCTGCTCACCTTGGTGATGAGAGGCACCTGTCTGTTGGGAGTACCTCTACAACCTAGGCACCTGGACCAGAACAAGGGCACGAGAAAGAACAGTCCAGAAAGGAAACATAGGGAACAAAAGGACAAAATAAAGCAGGGAAGAGAGAGACATGGACCCCTGATCCCCACGGAGAGCCAGAGAGCAAGGGCTGCTACTCTGGAAGCCAGAAGCCAGGGGACCTCCGAGGCTGCATCAGGCTGGACAGGGCTGTGTCCAGGGGTGGGAAGAGAGGAAAGACAGAGGAAAGATGACAGCCACTTAGCTCTGATGAGCAGCGTTTCTTGGCAGAAGGAAGCAGGCTGATCAGAGTCGATTAACTTCCTAACCGGCTGTGGTCTACGCCGGCAGGCAAAGCTGCAGTCACCAGCAGCTGGACAGAGGAACCTACGTCACAGGCCATCCCGACACAGGGCTCCAGGGCCCCCGGAGAACCCAAGGAAAGGTCAGGAGATGCCGTGACAGAGACGGGAGGGACTAAAGGAAAGCAAAGGTAACTAAGGGAATATATTTGAATAAGGTTAGGACTTCAGACGTGATGGCTCAGTAACTATGGCGAACCATCTTCTAAGGGAAAACAAGGGTAATGGGGTGCAGGCTACACTTAAGGGGGAAGTCTTCCTCTGGGAAGACAAGAGGGGACAAGAGAGACAGCAGGAATGAACAGGGTTAGAGGACAGCCCAGGAAGAACAGAAAAGTCACAATTAACCCTTTATCTAATTAATATACGCTGGTGAAATCCTTATATAGTTAATACATGCTGGTGAAATCCTTATATAATTAACATATGCTGGTGAAATCTTTATATAGTTAATATACGCTGGTGAAATCCTTATATAATTAATATATGCTGGTGAAATCCTTATATAATTAATATACGCTGGTGAAATCCTTATATAATTAATATACGCTGGTGAAATCCTTATATAATTACTATACACTGGTGAAATCCTTATATAGCTAATATACGCTGGTGAGATCTTTATATAGTTAATATACTCTGGTGAAATCTTTATATAATTAATATATGCTAGTAAAATCTTTATATAATTAATATATACTATACACTGGTGAAATCCTTATGTAGTTAATATATGCTGGTGAGATCTTTATATAATTAATATACGCTGGTGAAATCTTTATATAATTAATATACGCTGGTGAGATCTTTAGATAATTAATATACGCTGGTGAAATCCTTATATAATTAATATGCGCTGGTGAAATCCTTATATAGTTAATATATGCTGGTGAGATCTTTATATAATTAATATGCGCTGGTGAAATCCTTACATAATTAACATATGCTGGTGAGATCTTTATATAATTAATATGCGCTGGTGAAATCCTTACATAATTAACATATGCTGGTGAGATCCACTTTCTTAGGAAGGCAGTGCTGAGGAGTGGAGCCAGGATCTCACACATGCACGGAACCTCTGCGCTTCTGGGCCACGGCACTCGCCTTCTTTTCTTACTTTCAGACAAGGTCTGAAATTTCCCTCGGCCTCTGTGCACACTGCAATCCCCCTGACCCGGCCTCTGTGTACACTGCAATCCCCCTGACCCGGCCTCTGTGTACACTGCAATCCCCCTGACCCGGCCTCTGTGTACACTGCAATCCCCCTGACCCGGCCTCTGTGTACACTGCAATCCCCTGACCCGGCCTCTGTGTACACTGCAATCCCCTGACCCGGCCTCTGTGCACACTGCAATCCCCCTGACCCGGCCTCTCAAGTAACTTAGGTTACAGGGCTGTAAGTAAAACTAAAACCAGATGAATATTTCTCTGCATGATGTTATTTTCTACTTATAATATGAAACAGCTGCCAATAGTTGAAACTGTGATGTCAGAGCATTCGGGGATGAATTACTATAAATGGCCAAAAAGGAACACGCTGCCTCCACAGTTTTGACTTACTGGAGTCTTTGGGAAATTCAAAAAAAGGACCATTTTATAGCTGCAGGCTTTCCTGACGGTAGAAAAGACATTCTACGTAACACAGAAGTCACACCGAGACACAAAGCTGATGTCTACTGTTAGTTTTCATAGTTCTGGAGGTTGTCCTGGTTCAACCCAGGAACCCCAGATTAGTTAGAAAACACACTGTATTAGTCCCAAGAGGTTCTCAGAGAGAAAAAAAAAAGATAATGTCTAATATCACGGAAAAAGTCAAAAGGAGCTAATATGAAGTTACATAATGAAATAAAAGCAAAATTAAGTTTAGATTGTGAAATCACTTCTTTCCCCATACCCTAGAGATAATCCATGCTTATTCAAGTAGTTTACCATTAGTTGATGGCATTCCTTATTTTCTGTCTGTATGAAAAGTCAAGGGAGGAATATTTTCCCTTCCCTAATTTTTTTCAGCTTAGGTAATAGAAAGTCTTCAAGTATTATATCTATAAAGAGTTTTTCTAAGATAGCTGCTGATCTGGTAAGTAACCTGGAAGGAGGAATTAGGTTTGTGGTCTGAAAAGCACTCCATTCTAAAAGCACTGAATTTGGAATAAACCAATATAACTTTATAACTTTCCAAGTTTAGGGCTCTGGGGGAATATTCCAAGAAAGGACAAGTCAATGGCTTAGAACTTAGCATCTCGTAGGGTAATTCAAGCTCCCTCCATATCTTTCTCATTAGCAAAGATACTGCATGAAATTAGCTCAAGAAATGTACCAGACAGAAATGTGAACCAAAACAACTAACTGTGTGTGTGTGCGTGCGTGCGTGCGTGTGTGTGCGTGTGTGTGCGCGTGCGTGCGTGTGTGCGTGCGTGTGTGTGTGCGTGCGTGTGTGCGTGTGTGTGCGTGCGTGTGCGTGCGTGTGTGCGTGTGTGTGTGTGTGCACGCATGTGCAGGAGCATAGGACAGTCAGTGGCCTAGTTAGTAACTATGCTAAGATCCTATTTTATTAAACCATACCTAAACACTGAATTGCTTTCAGGTCTTAAAAATAAAGTTATGAGCTGATAATCTCATAACTAAGACAGCTGCTAATGAGGAAAGGGTTGATTTAGAAGGATGAATACTTCATCATCTCCATTATCTGAAGGTCAATTTAAAAAAGATTAACTTGTTTCTAAAGCAACTTCTGATCCAGTGAAAAGATGGAAGAAAAGTAAGAATTCACCAAGTCTGTGCGTTGGACAGCTGTGCTGTTTTCTTACCCTGTACGTTGTAGAGTCGGACTTTATGAGCCACATGTTCAAAGAAGCAGGTCACTTCTGAATAGACCCTCCCACGAGTCACTCTGACAAAGGGCAGTCGTAAGGAAACATATGGCTGCAGAGGAAAGGACACTTTTAGGAAAAAGCTCCTGAGTTTCTGAACCTTCCCAAAGTATTTAGAAGAGTGTGTGAAATGACAAATCTATGCAATTCAATACTCACTACGACATGAAAACCATGTAACTTACCAGAATACACAGAATATAAACAATGGACATATGGAAAGACTTTTTTTCTTACAAAAAATTATAAGGCCTGGATTTGTAAATGCTTACAATTTGATTGGCCTTAGATAATTTCCAAACATTCTCATATAAAGAAATTCTAGTTAGCATTTTCTATTGTCCACATAGTTGTTTATTGAAAATGAAGTGTTTTCCAGGCCAGGGTTCATGATCAGGTCCCCTGATGGCAATAAGAGGGGCAGGGGGCGGGACTAAGCAAATAGGATGCAAGACTCACCAACACTTTAATCAGTGAGGCTTACTGAGCTAGGAAACACTGCGCCCTCTGGCAGGAAAGAGCTAGGAAACCATTGGCTTAGTTTTCATTGTTTAGAATCAAGACAATTAGGGAATAAAGCACACAATGTGTGTGACTTGAGAATAAATTTAAACATCTACTTAAGTATTATTTACCTTAGCTCAATGGGAGCATAGGCACGGCTTTCGGTGGAGCACTCTTGAGCAGTAAGAGACTCCCAGAACTGTGTAACTTTATACAAGCCTACTTCTTTGTCCATAGGAAAACATACTAAAGCCAATAAAACATGCACCATTTGCGAGGTTCTTTCACATAATTACCATACAACTAGGAAACGGGGAGGCATGGGAACTAGGATGGAGGTTCCTAGGCATCTGCTCTCTTCTGATACAGTCAGCTACCTCTTTCCCTATAGTCTAACACTTTTACCTTAGCCTATATAATATTTTCATCTACTAGCACATGCATTCAAAAATAAAATAATTTTTTTTGTTTTTTTACGAGACAGGGTTTCTCTGTATTGTTTTGGAAGCTGTCGGTCCAGCCTAGTCTCGAACTCACAGAGATCCGCCTGCCTCTGCCTCCCGAGTGCTGGGATTAAAGACATGCACCACCACCGCCTGGCTCAAAAATAAAATAATTTAATTACGATTGCCCATACATATTATTTCATAGTCATCATGGGAGGCTGAGGCACATCAATTGTGAGTTTAAACCCAGCCTGGGCTGCATACATACTGAGACCCAGTCTTGATCTACATAACAATAATAATAAAAGAAATTAAATCAAAACAAAGACTCTGAAGCAATAACTATCCAGTGAAAAGGCTATGAAGTGAGGCACATCCAAACAGCCTGGAAGTGAGACTCTCTGTTCTGGAGTCAGTCCTAGAAGCTCTAAGTGATCTACCGTTTTTCACTGCCTTGAATATAAACAAACTATCTTAGGGTGGCCTATATAATCCCTAAAAATATAATCATTTTAGTGGGAAGCTTCTCCAAACCTTAGAAGGAAAAATAACTTTCTCAGAAGATTAGCCATTGGGCAAGAAAATATTACGGAGAGTCACTCACTTGAGGTGGTGACACATGAAGACGGAAGCAATAGGAGAAGGGGTGTCCAGGGACACTTTTGATGGGGAGAAGGGTGTCCAGTGACACTTTTACTAGGGAGAAGGGGTGTCCAGGGACACTTTTACTAGGGAGAAGGGGTGTCCAGGGACACTTTTACTAGGGAGAAGGGGTGTCCAGGGACACTTTTACTAGGGAGAAGGGGTGTCCAGGGACACTTTTACTAGGGAGAAGGGATGTCCAGGGACACCTTTGATGGGGAGAAGGGTGTCCAGGGACACTTTTAATGGGGAGAAGGGGTGTCCAAGGACACTTTTACTAGGGAAAAGGGGTGTCCAGGGACACTTTTGATGGGGAGAAGGGGTGTCCAGGGACACTTTTAATGGGGAGAAGGGGTGTCCAGGGACACTTTTGATGGGGAAATGGGGTGTTCAGAACATTTTTAATAGGGCTAATTCTCATAGCTTGGGAAAGGGACAAAAGAACTTGGCTGGAAAGGAACTTTTGTACAGTCTTTCCTGAGCCAAGAGAATCAATGTGATTAAAAAAAAAAAAGCCCTCAGAGCCTTGCTTCAGACACTGACCCAGAATGTCTCTGCTCAACTTCTCAAGAAATAACCAGAACTGCACCAAGAGAAGCTACAAGGTCTCTCTCATGAGGAAGTGGGAAAAAGTGGATATGCAATGTTAGGAGATTGTGAAACACAAGAGCCAGCATCAGAACTATGCTTGCAAAGAACATAGCGTGAACTCGGTAGGACAATGCTGAGAACAGAGTGTGTGGGTGTGGTCAAAGGAAAGAGCAAAACCAGCCTGAACGCTGGCAGTGATTTTCACAGGGCTGTAGACCACCATAAATGTCACTGCTTTCCTCACGTTAGCGAGTTTCAAAGGCGCCAGGCTCTGCGTGTTGCTTTTATAGACAAGAGTTTACTGTTTACTAAATCCCAAAGGGATAGAGAGAAGTGATTCCGTGAACAACACTGTCCCCACGGGGCCAGGCACTTGGTGTCTCCACATGCACAGTGTAGCACAGCTATGCAGAACTCCAAGTCACCTTCCTGCCAGCCAGGTCTAGAGTAGCTTCCTGCATGGAGAACACTCATTCTTGGTGTCTTCCTAGCTGAATTCCAGTTCTGACACATCTAACATTCAAGTACAAACTGCCAACCTTTGATAAATGTAATTCCATACCCAAGAGTTCATCGATGCCCAGTGATTAACTAGTGAGACATGTGAGGCATGCTAATCTTTGTCCTTAGCTCCCCCTCCCCTCCCTCCCTTCGTTCCCCTCCCTCCCCCTCCCTCCCGTTTCTGTCGCAGCAGGCACTCACCTGGCCCTGCCCATCAGGCAGGAAGAGATAGGCGCCACTCTTGTCTCTCTTGTTTGTGGTCCCATACCATAGAAACTGCACCTTGACTTCGTGCTGTTTCCCGTCTTCTTTGGCTCTCACTCTCTAAGGGTTACAGTAAAAACAGAAACAGCCATTTGTTTTCAGACCCCATCAGACTGAGTTAAGAATGAAAACCAAAACGCAAAAGGCAGTGAGACCGCACAGAAAATGGGGGCTGTGGACATTCTCACAACAGACGACCACAGACGCCACCACCACAGGTGGAATGCTCAAGGAGGGCAGGAGGAGGCTCAGCAGCTGGGAGCAGAGGCTGCTCTTGCAAAGGACCTGGGCTGGGTTCACTACCAACTGTAACTCCAGGTCTTCCGACGCCCACCTGACCGCCTCAGGCACCAGGCACCCAGGTACACACACTCGTGAAAGAAAAACACAAATACACATACAATTTATTTCAATGCTGGTGTATACTGGAAGGCTATAGCAGAAGGACCATAAAAGTTTAAGGTTAGCCTGGGCTTAATAAGGAGTTCCAGTCAAGCCTGGGCTGCACAGTCTCACCCTGTCTCAGAAAAGAAAAAGAGGGAGTGGGTGGAACTAAAACTTGCTAAGGTAAGCGTCTAACATTTGAAATATTTGGTTGAACATCAAAATCTTATAGCTAGCCTCAGATTTAAAACCCTTAAAATAGGAACAAAAAGTTGGAATATACTTTAGCAAGGAGCTTGGACTTTTACCTCTCAAACTGTCTACAGAAGACCCGCTTAGCTGTCAATATGCATCAGTCAGTTTAAAAGCACAAGGAAAGTGAACTAAAAATTGAGGACTACTTTAAAGGAAACTCATTTGTATTTTATTCCATAGGTGTTATATTCTGTTAAAATGCTCTCCACTTTGAACTGCCGCTTTTACCTAATGGATGAGCAGCAGCGCAGTGCACCCACACTGTGAGCCGCACCCCTGCACACCAGGCCGTGAGCCGCACCCCTGCACACCAGGCCGTGAGAGTCACCCCTGCACACCAGGCTGTGAGAGGCACCCCTGCACACCAGGCCGTGAGAGGCACCCCTGCACACCAGGCCGTGAGCCGCACCCCTGCACACCAGGCCGTGAGAGTCACCCCTACACACCAGGCTGTGAGAGGCACCCCTGCACACCAGGCCGTGAGAGGCACCCCTGCACGCCAGGCTGTAACCGGCATGCCCACAGAAGTTAGGCAGCAGCTAATCACTTCCATCTCCCAGTGTGTGCTGCAGCCCTGGGTGAGGACTTCCCTGTGGGTCTCTGGCCAAGGTCAACCCCCCTATGCACAGTTGTGCACAAAAGTAGTAAACACAATTAGCTCTCTGTTTGTCACAACTCTTGAAAACATACCTCCATAAGCCCAGATCGGTCAAACCAGAGCTCCAGGAAGGAGTTCTCTATGGTTATGGCATCCTTTGCATCTACCATGTTCTTCATGTGGAATATTCCATTTTCTGCTACTCCATCATTGTACAGGAAGTAATCAGCCTTGTGTGAACTTGCACTCTGTGATTCTAAGATCTTATACACTTTCATTCCCAGTGGTGGTATGTGAGCTAGAAAAGAAGCCTTTGGAGCCAGGAAATGGGATTACTATAGAGAAAAATGTCTCCTGACAGGAAAACATTCATATTTGTGGTAAAAAACATGGTGCCCCATTACACGAGAACGCTTTAGTAGCTTGTTCAGATTGATCACACCTCAGTTCCTCCGGGAATCTAGTCACCTCAGGTTGGAAAGCTTTCCAAAGTCATTAATGTTCCCATCCCTCCTATGAAGTCATATGACTATCCTTCCAATGTCTCATTGTGTTGTCAACAGATACCTGGAGGCAGGAAACTCTCCAGGAAGCTAAGGACTTAATGTAAACAATGTTTTCTTCCTAATTATCAGAACCCCTTTTGCAATGTTATATTCAGTCTGTTAAAACGGTAAGTGTAGTTATAGAAACATGCCATCGCCAGCTGGCTTGGAGCCTGCAGGAGGCGCTGTGTGAGCTGGCCCATCTGGAGAGCTGTTCCACCGCTCTCAGTGGAGGCCATCAGATCCGGCCTGAGTGTGGAATCTACTTCCCATTTTCTTTACAGGACAGTGACTATTGGAGCTGCACCAGTGATGGCGTCTGAAAAGCAGAAGTGACTCACTCCCTCTACAGTTAGTTTATCAGCGTGTCTCTATAAGGCTTTAAATCACCTCGGGACCCCAAATACTTAACATTTCCAATCATATGGAGTTCATTTAAAAACTGTTCATCTAAGACACACAGACATACTGACACTCACACACACAGAGACAATACAGAGACACCCACATACACACATAGACAGACAATACAGAGATACCACATATACACAAACACACACACAAAGATACACACACACAGAGACAACACAAAGAAATAAACAATACCACAATACAGAGACACCACATATACACAAACAACACACACACACACAGACAGACAACACAAAGAAAAACACAATACCACACACACACACACACACACAGAGTCTATTGGTTGAATTCCATAATTAAATCTCCAAAACAGGTATTTAAGTAATCTTAGTTAAAAGTCTCTCTCCCAGGACATATTAAGTCACCATCGCTATGAAAAAATAACAACTAACCAACGTTACTATTAAAAATGGTGCCATTTATCTCAGTTCCATATGTATAGTTACCACTGGGTTACATATAAAATTGTAGTTTATTATTTTAGAATCCAGTTAAAATATGTATACTTTAAAAGATATACATACCCACCAGTAAAATGTTACTTGCTAAAAATACTAATATTTTTCCTTTAGTATCATCCAGGTACCCAGTTACATCCTCTGGTGCTACACTTTCATGCCAACCCAAGAAGTTGATGGGTATGTGATGAGTTATCACGCAGGTACAAGCTGTGGATCCTCACTATCACGCAGCTACAAGCTGTGGATCCTGACCATGCTTTTTTTTCCCGTCCTTTATCTTTCTTCAGTGTCTATGGCCATCGCATACCTCGTAGGCTGATTGTGAAATCGTTCTTGCATCACTCCAGACTGCACTGACTTGAACCTCCACAGGGTTTCCCGAGTCAGACAGCACTTGTACTGCAGCCGAGTTCACGCAGATGGACACCACCGACTCCCGTTCCTGTTCGAAGGGATTGTACACCACGAGGTACCTGTGAAGACAGCTGTGTCAATACTGAGAGCTCAAAACACTTTCATTTCTCTCCAGGTCCCAGTCATGGACAACACAGGGAAACCTGGCTTGGTGGCCCACGCCTTTAGTCCAGCACTTAGAGGCAGGCGGATCCCAGTCTAGGGGCTAGCCTGGACTACAGAGTGAGTTCCAGAACAGCCAGGGCTACACAGAGAAACCTTGTCTCAATAAACAAAACCCAATCAGCCAAACAACAACAAAGCAAAACACAGAGGGAAGAATGAATAGGACCGTCCTGAGAAAATGCCCACAGAGTGGCATTTCCTCCCAACAAGCAGCACACGGTATATGTGGCAAGTAAATTACCTTTGAGAAATAAAAGTCTACCATTGCTTCACATTAATATGCATAGTAAACATTTCCTATACCCCCAAATGACATATAAGGATCATTTTAGTTATCTAAAAGAATCGGTACTCTTAATATTCTGGTTCCTGGATCGTTGTGTTGACTAAAAATAAAAATTTTTAAAAAATCATAATTTGTCTTTGCAATTTAGGCATAATTAACTTCCAATAAAAATTTGACACTCGTTTTAGATCGGTAAAACAGAGTAACTTGTGTGATTATGCATGCAAATCTCATAATGCACACATATATTTATATTATAGAGAGGGCTCTTACCGCTGCGCTCTAGAAACTTGACTCTGGCATGAAAACAAGTTTACTTAAAGTAAATCTACTTATAAGACAGCCCAAAAATTTATGATAAATACAACTGAGAAAAAAAGATTTGGTGGGGATGCAGTCAAACAAAGGAAATTTAAAGCTATGAGAGTAACTTCCATTGATATCTGCAACAACACATAATTATTAGCATGAACAAAACACGAGCTGCTGTCTTGGTGGGCTCTTGGCTATGCCGCATGAGCTCCCTGGACACACCATGTTTAATATTACAGGGTGGCTTCAGACATACTATTCAGAAAAGACATCTAATGACCTCCTCCTCCTCTTTCCCGTGGCTCTCGGTTCTCTGGCGTGGAAATCATCCGCCACTGAAGCATACCCATCTTTCCCTTCCTGGTTGTCCTAACTCCTCCTGATGCTGCTTCCCAGTGTAGCAGAAATGGCATTCACCACCGTGTGAGGACCTCGGGAAACCCACATGACTCATGATCTCACGTCACACCTCATTTACATGCGAGTATCTCCAAATAAATCAGCATTTCAAACAGGACAGAGGCCGATGTTGTTCACTGAGTCATTAGTGAATATTTTTATGATCTAAAATATCTTTTCTAGAAAATACATCAACTACAGGAACATCAACAGAACAGACAGCAATGGCCTCTATCCATTAACACATAACATCTAGAGTAGTCATCTCTTCCACTAACATATAACGTTTAGAGTAGTCACAACCTCTCCTATTAATACATACCATCTAGAATAGTCGCCACCTCTCCCATTAACACATAAACATCTAGAGTAGTCATCTCTTCTATTAACATATAAAATCTAGAGTAATCATCTCTTTCATTAACATATAACATCTACAGTAGTCACCACCTCCCCCATTAACACATAAAATCTAGAGTAGTCATCTCTTCCATTAACATATAACATCTAGAGTAGTCACAACCTCCCCCATTAACATATAACTGCCAGGGCCCACTTCATTTTGACTCAGGGTCAGTAAAGTGTCCCTAGTCTTCCAAGGTTAAAGTCATAAGACCTAAAGGTCTAAGGTGTGGCTACTGCAGGATGTTTGATATTGGTTGCAGATGTCTTATCTAAATAACAACAGACTTGGTCTGGGTGTGGTTACTCTTGACCCTCAAGACCAGATAACAGGAAACTGAGTCTAAGGCGTGGTTACCAAATGCTTGGAGAATTAAGGGAAGAAAGTCTGTTTGTTCCTTGTACATGATCCAGAAGCCTTTTGCCATGTTCCCCTTTCAGTTGGGGTACTTCAGAATTTAGAAGAATAAACTTGAGGTGTCCAGTATACACTGGATTTCCCTCCTGGCTCTATCTGGCGTCTCTGTCTTTTTCTTAGCGACTTGACCTGCCATTTCTCAATCCACACTGCCCCTTCTCAGGTCAAATCAGGGAGTCAACTGGATGTGACTGAAGCCCCACAAAGACCGCCTGCAACAGGCAGTGCTGCGCCATGGCACTCTACAGATGGCGACAACATGTAGCCTCTACTTGCAGATAGCTTCTACTTGTTCAACTGTCCCAGAAAGACATCACACATGTTTTCTAGACATTTTCATTTCCATACTCATTACAAGCCATCCATTAAGAAATGAAGCACTTAACAGAGCAAAACAGAGGACACAGAAAGAAAGAAATGAAATGAAGATGGCAACGCACAATTATAAACCAGCTCACTTATGATCCTTAGCAGGAGACGCACTTATGTCTTAGATGTTGCTCTGGGATACTGCAGTGATATAACTGGTTTTTTTTTTGTTTTGTTTTTGGTTTTTCGAGACAGGGTTTCTCTGTGGCTTTGGAGGCTGTCCTGGAACTTGCTCTGTAGACCAGGCTGGCCTCGAACTCACAGAGATCCACCTGCCTCTGCCTCCCAAGTGCTGGGACTAAAGGCGTGCGCCACCAAAGAATGCCTCTAGTCTTGAAGGCTGGGAAGTCTCCACACTAGGACAAGGAGACCTAACTTGCACGCCTATCTCCACGGATTCGTTGGTATTCCACATGCATGGACAAGAGCAGACCAAAGAAGCCACCAGGCACAAACATACTTACAAAAAGCATTAAACATCCTATCACTCCTCAGAGCCCCACATTAGCCTCAGAAGCAATTTTCAAGGAAAGTCACTGTGGAGCCTGGAGAGGGGTCACTGTGCAGCCTGGAGAGGGGTCACTGTGGAGCCTGGAGAGAGGCATCCAACAGATTTAGCAGACAAATTTGATAACAAATTCGAACCCTATCAATCCTCACTTCCACAGATCTTGCTTTTGACTGGCTGTCCTTTGACCACAAAAATACTCAGACAATCACCGTGCCAGGATTTTGTGTCACCAGACGACTATGGGAGACTCCAAAAGTGCATTGGGGGAGAATAGTTGAAGCCACACATCCCAGTGCACACGAAATGAACGATTTATGATTAAAACCCACAGTTTCAGAGGCTTCCAAAGCTAGAACATGAAGGAACGCACAGGCCTGCGTAGCCCCAGTAACAGGAGGTGTACTGAATCTGGAAACCTGCTGGAGAGGACTCTGGACAGAGAGGTCATGAAGGCTGTAACACAGACACTGGAGACACACATTAATTAACACCCAGAACACTGATTCCTTCCCACAGAAAATCTGAAAAATGACTCACATTTAATTACAGTTTTAAGTCTATGTTTGGGTTTGTACTGCATGAAATTGTGTTATACAGTAAGCTACGAACTAGGTTGGTTTGGTTTTGTTTCATTTAAGTAGATAATTAGTATTTGACCATAATGATGTTTCTACTGTATTGAATGATTATGTAATTATTGTGCCAAGAATCTATTAAAAAAACTAAATATGTAGAATATTAATGAGTAAAACGCAGGGTAAGAAAATAATTTCTAACATAATTAGAGACTCACAGCATGCTGTTCAAGGACATGACAATACAAATTTGTCTGGCATACACACGAACTCCTAGTTTACATTTATATGGAATACAGAGAAGGCATAATCATGAATTACATTTCATTATGAATAAGTAGACCCTCCAAGTTACCTAAATTCCCTGGCTATTGTAATGTTTGGCAGTCAAGTAACCACCTGAGCAGTAATGCCAAACTCTCAGCAGGAGTTCTTTTTCTAAAAGAAATATTATTTCTCTGGAAATTTTGTGCAATCTGTTTTTCTTAAGACCCTACTACTGAAGACAGCACATACCTGAGAACATGGACAAATCAAACTAGTACTGACGTGCAGTTTCTCCCTCCAGGACAGCTCTCACAGTATGCAAGGTGCTGTGTAGGCTACCAGAGGAGAAAGGTAGCCGCCAATCTCACACTGGCAGGAACCCTGCCAGCCAAAATGCTGGCCACCGGTGCGGCTGCGGCACGAACCTCAAAAGAGCAGAGTGAGCATGGACTCTCCCAAGCCCTTTGGGCGTGAACGACAAGTTTCAATACATTATTACCACTTACCATAGTAACAGGAATATTACTGATACTCTGGAAATGGGGTGGGTTTGTTTCTCTTTTAACATAGTTCCTAACTGAACAGGGAACTTGTTTCATTAATAACCTTTTCCTCCAATTGTGCTCACATTTGCATTAACTCCTTAGACACTGTCACCAAGTCATGTCCCAGCCCCCATTTCTCCTTGTGACACCAGGACTTTGCAGCTTGGTGTTATGGGCAATTATTTCAATTCTTTAGAAGAACAGCTCATCTCATGAAGAAAAAGCACTCATTTGTTACCTGTCAATCAAATTACAAAACAAGAGAATAATGGACTCCAGCAAGGGGAAAATTAATGAAAGGCCACTCGACTGTCCATGTCAATCTGGAGACTAATTGAGGACTCAGAACGTCACTGCTGAAAAGTGTCTGTCCTTTGAAAACCTGCTAAGGAGGGAGATATTCAGGGCTCCTTCACTCCTTGGGCAGAGATAAATGACATCATGCTAAGGGCAACTGCAGCCACCACTGAACCCTCTCTAAGGCAGACACGGCATCGGGCCTAGCAAGCACTGTGTGTGGGGGCTTCTTACGTCTGGGACAGTCCCCAGGACTGTGTGGAGCCCTGGAAGACTCAGCATCTCATCCTACTCATGATGTGCTCTACCTGCTCAGGTGTGTTATCAAGACCACCAGTCCATAATCCCTGAGTCATTTTCATAACCACATTACCCACAGCCAAGTACCTGTGGGCCACTTTGGCAGCTGGGCTTTTCTATGGAGAGTCCTACACTGTCAAGCACATGAGAAGAACTTTCTGTTCAGCTGCCTGAAGCATGCTCACAGAGATTCTCCTCAGGAAACTCGGGGTG